GGGGGGGGGGGGGGGGGGGGGGGGGGGGGGGGGGGGGGGGGGGGGGGGGCAGGCAGGTTGCCAGTCAAGGTTGAGGCGGCTGAGAAGGGGTGGTGGACAGCGCAGAGATAGGGGGCGGGCTCAGGCACGAGCAGCGGTTGTGCCACGCGCAACGTGGGCAACGCGACGCCGTCAGCACCAGGCGCAGTGCACGCGCTCGTAAGCACGCGTCCCAGCCAGCACCAGCACAGTGTGTTCAGTACTTGTAGTGTTGATGCCTGCAATACACCTAATCAGCTGTGGTGCATGGCTTCAGACCCCGTGCAGCGTCGGGCGTGGTGCAGTCGCCCCCGCTGTGCAAAGCGCGGCGAGCGGGCCCTGGCGCACCAGGGCTACAGGGTTGATGATGCCCATCTTGAAGAATGCACTCGAAGCCCGCGATGGATGCAAGGTGTTGGCCCGGCCCGCACGTGATCCACGGGCTTGCAAGGTGACGAAGGGCTCCGGTCCGGAGCTGGAAGAGGGTGCGGGTTGCGGCTGTGTTGAAGATATGTAATTGAAATTGTCCGTTGTGAAGCCCAGAAGCCACATTCCCCGTCCAGGTCCAGATCACACCCGGGTTCCGAATGCAGTGCCACTGTTTGCGACATCGCGCCGCGGCCCCGTCGCTGACACCGTGCACCTCAACACTGCGCCAGTGGCGCTCTGCATTGGCAACGCCACATGCTGTAAATTGCGCAAAATGGCAAGGGCGTGGTACAACACACATACAGGCCTGTGGGGCGCTGCATGGCATGAGAGCCAACTAGCAAGTACAACCACTACCAACGTATTAATCAACATCTCTCTCAGCTGCCTACATCCGTGCTGGGGCGAAGCATGATGGCGCACAAAGATTTAAGCGGCACACAACACAGTGCGCGGGCCATGTACAAGGTGGGGGCTGCAGCAGCTGCCCTGCCAGGTCAGCCCAGGTCGATAGACCCCCTCCCTGACAACATTTGTTGCCTAGCTACATTACGATATTTAGCAATCATATCATATGTGACGTGTCAGCCTGGCCTGGGATGAAAGACGACGCTTGGCATCAGCAGTGGATGGGATGACTTTAACCCTCAATTGTTTACGCCTCAACCCAGTTATCTACTTTGCATTTTATGATAAGGATTGGTTCAATGGTGAGTATGTATCGTGTTGTTTGCTAATCACAGCTTCACTGCCGCAGTACCTGCTGAATCAGCGTCCTTCGAAGAAACGCCCGTTTGTGCGTGCTCCTGTGTCCAGGGCCCTGCATGGATTCAGGTGGAGGGCATTGCGGCAGCTGTTGGGTGGCTGTTCGGCTGCCGGCAAACCACTTTGGTGCTGAGGTGGCCATTTGTCTGGATCAAGAGCCTGGACGGACCTGCTCCTTCGCAAAAGCATTGATGACACTGCCTCCGCGGATCCAGCTGACAGGCGCACGAGCTGGTGCCGGTCAATAGGTCCTGTGCGCATACATACCTGCGTGCAACAATACCAAACTAGCTAGGTGCTTGGTTCCTTGGAAACCCTCGCCTGGGCCTTTACGCCGAGAACGAGCCGAATGTTTTGCTTGTTGCGACCGGAAAGCGATGAGAGACAAGATTTACGCCCCAAGCGACTAGCCTTTGGTCAGGTAGCTATGTTCGTTTCATTGCAGAGTCTAGTACAAGAGGGACAGTGGGCGTGAAGTCGGAAGTCAGAAGAGTGACCTCACGCAATGGACGGACGACAGCCAGTGTCAAGCAATTGTCCCAGGGGTGCGTGCATCAGCACGAGGGGGGCGGAGCACATCACTCGTCAACTGCATCCAAGTTCAGCTTCTGTCTTGATAAGAAGTTAAATGCAGGGAACTTGTGGGGCCCTTGCAGCTGAGAGGGCAGCAGGTGGCTTTGCATGCTCTATTCAGCTATGTCATCCTGACACAGTCATTCCCAGCTTCAGTAGTCATTGAGTTGCACCACCTCGAAAGCTTTGCCAAGCTGCTGCAGCAGCTCAAGCAGCACTCGCCGTCCAACGCCGTGGCGCGAGCATCCCTTCGTGTGCTGGTGCTGCCCCGGACAGGCAGCCGAGGGGCCCTTGGCGACCATGCATGCTGCAGTCTGCTGCTGGGCTGCCGCAAGCGCCGCGGCCGATGTCTTGCTGCTGGGAGTCAAAATGTGATGACGCAATTCTCCAAATTCAATGGATTTGCTCACAAGGCCGCGTGGAACGCCTTGCCCTCGGATGTATGGTTGTCAGGCTGCAGCTGCTGCTGCGGCTGCTGCTGGGGCTCGCCGGCCCCCACGTCATAGATTCTGCTTGTTCTATTCATCCGGAGGGTGGCCTTTCTCCGCTAAGGCATTCCGCGCCCTGCAGTGTCGGCCAACTGACCAAAGGGATCGATGTCCCTGCGGAGCCGAAAGATGTGCTATGCGAATACGTGCATGCTGGCACTGCAATCTGGGTGCATGCATGCCTGCCACTTGGACTCGCTACTGGATGTCCTCCTGGCGCGTCGACGGTGCCGATGTTTCAGGAGCACTCAGAGCTGATGACATCCCTGGGTGTTGACCCAGGTCTTTGTACAGGGGTTGTCCAGACCTGTTGATTGTGCCAACTATACAACAATGCTGTATACAGACACAGTGCTGATGTTTTGGTAGGGCACGCAGTGCGCGGGGGCGTGTTGAGGATGGCAGTCTGTCTGCCCTCCAGGGGTGCGTTGCCGATGCCGCGCCTACGTAGGCCTGGGCCGTCACACTTCTGCCAGTGCTCATTGCTCGCTTGATCACTGTCTGTCAGTTCTCCTTTGCTAAAGTCGTTGCACTTCGCCCCTGACCGCCCGCTTCATCAGTGGGTCCTGGTGCTTACCTGCCTGAGCCTTTCTCAACAGCAAACATGCAAGCAACCAAAAGTTGAGCACATTGATGGCTGTTACTGACCCTGAATGAGCGGACCACGAAGCTCACACACGTACAAACACACGCACCGAATAACAATTTGCGCACATGTAAAACGCAAGGTGATGGATAGACATGCATTCAAGACATGCGGCGACACGTCTCTGACATGCACGGTAGTTCAGTCGTCCAGTCTTGGCTTCTTGGTTGCGGGCAGCGGTTCCATTGCAAGCTCAAGCAGCTGCTTGGACTTCTCCTTGTGCTGGTCGGCGCGCTCACGAAGGGCAGCCAAGCTGGGAGGAGATGCACCCATCAGCCCGCTGATGAAAGCGGTAAAAGCTGAGCGCGAGCTTCGATCGCAGCAGCGAAACACGCCGCCGTCCTCGATAAAGAGCTGGTTGGAGCGTATCCACCTGTGCATGTGCATGCCATGGTTGTGGTCAGTGTTGTAGCAACCCAGTGGTCATCAAAGGGCGGGTCGGTGCTTACAAGGTGCAACAACAGCCATGCTGACAAAGAGTCCACTCTGCAATCCTCAAGCAGCAGCACTAGCGCAGCCCACAAAGCCCGCATGTTCCCCTTGAAGCCGCAACAAGAGGTGAAGCAGCATTGGATTTCTGAACTCCTGCATGGCACGAGAGCTTACTTGAATTGTCCCTGCACATCCGCACACGACATGCCCTCGGCGAATGTGGCCGCCCCTCCACCCGGGCGATTGTGCCCATCATAGCTGACGCGCAGCACCTGTGGCGGCGGCAGCACACAGCAGGTGTCTCATGAGAGGTGTGGCATATCACAAATCACATGCAGCTGCAACATGCGTGGCAGCATGCTTTGTATGTGCCGGCACCAGCGTTGCCATGTGCATCACACCTACAACAACCGCAGGAAGCAATCGCGTTGCCCAACCTGTCCGGGATGATGAGGGTCAGCGTCCGCAAATCGCACACCTTTTCAAGGTCTGTCAGCACCACCCACACCGGCTCGTAGCTCTGGTGCATCGCATTGTGGCACCACATGGCAAAGGCCTCCTTGCTGGCCTGATAAATGTGGGCCTCCAGGCAGCTCCAACTTCGCATCTTCACCACAATGGCTCCTGCACAGTGTGCAGGCAATTAGAAGCAGTCACCCAAGCAAGGGGACCGACAGAGTGCCGTGAGCGCCGCTCATCAAGCAGCAAAAGCTCACCTGTGTATAGGATGTGACGTGTCCGCTCCTGCCGCCGCACCACCTGGACTGCCACGCCGCCCCCGAAGCTGCCTGCCCGGACGCCCTTCTCGTAGCGCATGAACTCCTCACGGTCTTTCTCCTTGATAAGGGCGACCTCCTCCGCTGCGGAACATTCTGCCACTCTGATGTGGGCACCACCAGGGGAGAGCACCAGGGCCGCCTGCAGCATCTGCGACACGCGTTCAGGCGTAGCAAAAGTACGACCAACCAAGGGTTGCTGCAGAGCAGTGGGGGGACTGCAGGTGCAATGCAAACAAGCCTGGTAGCGTCCATGGTGCGGCAAAAACAGCGCCAAGTAGGACTATAGGTTCAGAGGGCCCACATTGGGCATGCAACATGCATAGCTTGACGCGGTGCAACATTGCGTGCTGAACATGCAAGCTCACTTGTGTAACCACAAGCACGAGGTCCGCTTCAGTGCCCAGCTGCGACACCGACATGGCCGCCAGAGTTGGCTCCAAGATGAACTCCATTGCATACTGCATCGCCTCATCCTCAAGGCAGGGGGCAACGGGCTCCGGATCGGCCCACCGGATGTGTGGGAACCGCAAGGTTAAGTCGACCCCCGCATCCGCCAGAGCCACGGTCGTGGCAGAAGCTGCGGCCTGCTTAGGTGAGCTGCCTCGGCCCTTGTGAGACGCGTCGCCGCTCCGGCGTCCTGGAGCGGCGGTGACAAGATAGGGGTTGCGCATCGAGCCAACCACCGGTGGCCTGGCTGGGGTGCTGGCATAGTTGCGCCCGACACGCGAGCCGGGAAGGGCCCAAAGTGGAGGTCTAGCATGACTGCAGATATACAATGAGGCAAAATCTGTTCCTGTTTGTGAACAGCAGCAAAACACCTGCCCCAACCTCATTCAACCCGGGCCCATGCAACTGGGTCTTCAACCAAGGCAGCTTGGCCACGGGCCCCCCTTCAACCCAGGCCAGCCAGGTGTGCTGGGACCAGCCCCAGCAGTCCTGAGCCCCACCAATGATGGCATGATTGCCAGCTGCAAGCCTCACCTGCTGATGCCACTTCCGCTGCTGTTGGGCGGGGACGTCGAGGATCGAGGGGGGGTCGGGTGGCAAGGGGCACTGACAGGAGGCGGCGAGGCAAGCCAACACGTGGTGTAGGGCACGATAAGGGC